TTGCAATTGTATTGGCGTAAAAATATTTGCCTATTTGTCGTGTGAAGGGAGAAGGAAATACGAAGGAAATACGAAGGAGAATTTACTTGTCTCTAGACCGTGGATTTTCATGAAAATTCATATTTTCATAGAGCAAGAGTTGTGATTTTATATTATATAACATTAAGTTAATATTTTATAACTATTTCATATTATTTTGAAAATATTTCATAACCGTTTTATATCATGAAATTAAGTAAATATTTTTTGTATAAAATGTATAAGAGAAATGTCAAGTGAATATCTTTTATTGCAATTACTTTTATTTTGGATATTAAATAAAAATTAAATCGCGAGTCTGTAATTTATACGTTTCGTTTGGAAAATTTTATTAAACATCTGCTTTAATACATAGAATCTTTTAAAGAACAGTAGAACCTCATTGATCCGAATACATCTTACAATAGTTGATAAATAAAATCTCACTGATTCCTTCCTCTATTCATGATTCGTTGTCCATACAATAGAAATTTTTACACTCATGTAAATAGATTTATTAAGCACAAGTTCATTTAATCAGCCATTAATTAAACGAAGTTCTACGTTTGAGCATTATGACAGATTATTCAAATTATTTAGGTATCAAGTGCATATCTTCAGAGTTGCGAAATTTTTAAAAACCACGCTACTGCATCCATGCTAATTCACAATAAAATCCAATGTAAGCAAGGCGCTATTTATCAGAAATAAAATCAACGAATACGTTAATATCATAGAACGGAAAGATTACCCAAGTATCGACGAAGTTCTGCCTCTTTCTTTCAACGTCTTTCAGAACAGTCGTTACCCTCGACGAGATCTCTTCGTATCCAGGTAGATCCGCCAGCAATTCCTTCCCCAATTTGTTTAAACTTTCCAGTCTTAATTCCGCGGATCGAGCAGCTTGGACCTCTTGAAGTATCCTCGGACTGTCCAACAAGTCTCCCGTGTCCGGACCAGCCAAGCAATTCTCTTCAGATTCGTCCAACAGAGAGCCACGCAGAAAATAATGGAAGAACAAAACGTAAAAGAATCGAGATCACTCTGAATTCATTGAAGTGTGGTCGATTATTTCTCGCTTAGAATTTTACCTATAAGATCTCTGTAAGCCGAGAGCAAGGTCTCTCGTTCTCCACGAAGAGCTCGTTTCAAACCGTCTCTCTTCATCAACTCGAAGTAACGTCGAAATTCCGCGAGCAGGGAGTTTGGCGTGTTGGCATCGGCGACTTGTGACTTTAGTTTCTGCGCCACTCGTTCTTCGGCGGGTATCAATCCTTCTTCGACTCTTCTCTTCAATCGGTTCCATTCAACGCCTCTGTCGTCGTCATCGAAGACCACTAACGTCATTAATAAATATTTTTCCATTATTATAGAAAATTAATTGGGTAAAATGAATTGACAGATTAAATTTTTGATTTATTGTAGCATGTTGTTTATAAAAGATGATGATATTTGTTATTAGAAAGAGTTATGCGACTATAGCGTCCTATGATTGATGACATAACTGTGTAGAAATTCAATTTTCTACTATTTTCATTGTATGTTGATTGTATACACAATTTGATTGTTATCGAAATATTATAACTTGTACTTTCTACAATAATTAGATGTTGATAAAATTTGCCAATTTAATCTGTAAATTTTATTGAAACAACACACGTTTCTTTTGCAATAACAAAATAACAACGTTTATTAATAGAAATTTTTCAATTTTTTAATTCTACTAATTAATCAACATTATTTTCATCGTATTCATCGATCATATATAGTTACAAATTATTGAATTAAAACACACATATTTTTTTGCAATAACTAGATGTGATAGATTTTGGGTTTAATTTTTCAATTTTACTGGAACAAGCAACGTTGTTTTCATCTTGTTCATTGTTCGCGTATAATTCTGAAATTATTGAAATATAATACATATATATATTTTTTTTTTTGCAATAAATAAGTAGTGACAACAGAGATACCTTTAACGTCGAAACATTGCATCAAGGTATCAGCACCAAGTCCAGACCTCTCGTTAGAAGTGAGCAACCTGGTCAATTGCCTATACTGAGCACGTAGCTCGCCAATTTGCCTAAATACCACGAAAATCGCCAGTTGAATCTTGCTGAAGGTTGCAGGAGGAGCAATAATCAACCAGGATACCTGAGACGTTTGCCAATACGCGAGCATTTTGCAGGTACGAAACTTCCACCGTTCCACGGATGAACTGAATGATGAGGCCAAAACAACGTGGTGAATTTTTCCACCATGTCTGCCCATTTCTCGCAGATTCCCGCACCGCTCGTTATCGCTTCAATTTTTATTCGATCGTCGGTAGTTCGAATCTAAGAAAAATACACAATGGTTTTCACATGGTGAAAATGTATAATCGTTTTGAAGATCATTTGTATTTCCATGCATAACGATTTTATCGTCGGTTTTAGCAGTTATAAATTTTTACCTCTTCGATTGTATTCCTTACGAGAGATACTAATTCGTCTCCAATGACGTCCAAGAATGATTTCATCCGTTCCTCGGTGTACACTAGGTCACCTAATTTCCACAAATCGTCGACGTATCCTGAGACTGCTTCGACAGCGTCATCCACGCTAATTAAACCATCCCTGTAAAAAGGAAACAAGGAAAATATAATAAATAAAGTACAGAAAATGGAGAAAATTTGTGTATTAAAATGACCATAATTTAAATTACAATTAAATACAAGAATAAAAATTTGAGAAGTCCTTCTATATGAGTGCTTGCACTTAGAAATACAGGAAATACATATTTTCGAATCCCGTATTTTTGTTCAACTAAAACCGAGAATTAATATTAAGATTAAATATTTACTAAAATTTTATCTAGGTTAAAGAGATTTCGCAGAAAATAAATCGAAATAAATTGCATCATTTCACGATGCAATTGGCATGCTCGTATACGCAAAGAAATATTCTTTTAAATTTTACGCGTCGATCGTAACTAGAGGCGCGTTATTTCGAACAGGCAGAGCCGCCATAAAACTTCTCACGATCCAACTACCGAAGAATTCACCGGAATGATCTCTTTTTACGATCACCTAGCCACCGCCGCACTCTCCAACTCGGTCCTGATGCTTCTCAAGGTTTTTACAGCCTCCGCGTAAATCGTTTTGTCGTGCAATCGTTTCGCGTCCTCCCATGTCTTTCTCCAACAATCCTCCTCCTCGACGACGGAAGTCGTTGCCGCCGAGCCGAGAAGATTCTCCTCCAGCTTCTTCAAACAGGCAGAATTGAGACCGGAAGATCGAAGTGTCGGCGCCCATACTTGACGAAGAGCCTCGACTAACGCCGATCCTTTCCCACTGCCGGTCGTCGTAACTTGAACGAGGTCGTGAAAATTCCTCTCTGTCACCGGTGCCTCTGTTAACTGTATTAACGTTCTCAATTCTTATTTCATTTAAGATGACTTTGTTGTACATTTGAAAATCACTCAGTTGTTGCGAGTGAGTTGTTAAAGGTAAATTAAGATCGATGAGGATTTAATTTGTATTTTCATTCTTCTCTCAAATGATTGCGTAGATGATTTTTATATATACGATAGAATTATCTAAGACTTTGGTCTCTCGTATAAATTCTCGAACGACTCTACTATGACTCGCCAACTGATATGATATTCTAGTTTGCAAACTAGTATAGAATTCTGAAATTCTTCTGGTTAGTTGATAATAGAAAATTAGAAATTCAGTTAAATCATTTAAAAAAATGCCACTATCCTATCTTTGAGGTTACAAACCTTCTTCATTAATAGAAAATATATTGATGAAGGTAAAAAAGTAATTTACAAACATAAACTTACGCTGTTTCATAAAATATACGTAGCTAACAAATGGTATAGAATATTCTATAAATGAAATACTTTTCCACAATAAGATGATGGTGGAAAAAAATAAATATTAAGAAAAATAATCGAAACAATACGAATTTACGCTGCTTTGTAAAATACGTGTAGCTAACAAATGATACAAGATATTCTATAAATGAAATACTTTTCTACAATAAGATGATGGTAGAAGATAAAAATAAATAAATATTAAGAAAAATAATCGAAACAATTTACGCTGCTTTGTAAAATACGTGTAGCTAACAAATAGTACAAAATATTCTATAAATGAAATACTTTTCCACAATAAGATGATGGTAGAAGATAAAAATAAATAAATATTAAGAAAAATAATCGAAACAATACGAATTTACGTTGCTTTATAAGATACGTGTAGCTAACAAATAGTATAAAATATTCTATAAATAACATACTCATCTGTAACAAAATAATGATGAAAAATAACAAAAGTAATCTAAATGTTAAGAAAAAGAGCTTGAATTCACGCTGTTCCATAAAATATACGTAGCTAACAAATGGTACAGAATATTCTATAAATGAAATACTTTTCCACAATAAGATGATGGTGGAAAAAAATAAATATTAAGAAAAATAATCGAAACAATTTACGTTGCTTTGTAAGATACGTGTAGCTAACAGATGATACAAGATATTCTACAAATAACATACTCATCTGTAACAAAATAATGGTGAAAGATAACAAAAGTAATCTAAATGTTAAGAAAAAGAGCTCGAATTCACGCTGTTCCATAAAATATGTGTAGCTAACAAATGGTACAGAATATTCTATAAATGAAATACTTTTCCACAATAAGATGATGGTGGAAAAAAATAAATATTAAGAAAAATAATCGAAACAATACGAATTTACGTTGCTTTATAAGATACGTGTAGCTAACAAATAGTATAAAATATTCTATAAATAACATACTCATCTGTAACAAAATAATGGTGAAAGATAACAAAAGTAATCTAAATGTTAAGAAAAAGAGCTCGAATTCACGCTGTTCCATAAAATATATGTAGCTAACAAATGATACAAATAAAATCCTCTTCCACGACGTATTAACCAAACTTCAACAAAAGTTTCACAATTTGGAACACCTTCATAACCTGTCACCAATATCTCCCTCCTCTATTCTTCACTTACCTTGAAGAAAACTAAAGTGTTTCTACCAACTTGTAGCTCGTTACTCAACTTCAGCCGTACTTCCTCATCCTCTACATCCGGTTGTGCACAAAGAATTCTGCATCCGGCTCTGTCCAAGAAATTACCTAACACCGTTTGTTCATCGGCGTTCGTTTCGTCGTCTTTCACAGGCACGCCAAAGAAATGGCCAGCGGTGGACACTATCAACGATCTACGCTTGTCAATCACCACCATTTTTTCCACTGTAGACAATGGTATAATTTCGGCGTATTCGTGCCGCGAACGTTCTCGTCACGGTACCATTGCAACGTTTCCATGAACGTGGCCGTCCTTGCTCGCGTGGTGATCGTTCGAGTTGTCATGACGACTCCTAGTCAACACAGAGCAGCTGTCAGAGGTGGCACATGCTGGCAGGATCGTGGTTGTCGATACCAAATAGTGGTAAATAGAGGGATGGATTATTTTCGTTGTAAGTGGTGAATTGGTAATCACATGAGAGCTGGAAAAGATTTTTCTGAATTCTTTTCATAGAAAGTTCAGTGGTTGTTGAAAGTTCCCGAAGTGTGTTGTTTTTATTTTATGTATCGTTGACAATGGAAATTTTGTAGAATTTTACTTGAAACTAGGTGGAATTGTATCATGAACTTGGTCAGGAATTTCTAAGAGCTATAGCTACGATATTTATTATAAAAAAAAAGTTACTATTATTACTAAGATCGTTATGAAAGGTAAGTAACAAAACTAGTATAAAAAGCAAATAATGGAAAGATGGAATTATTTTAGAAGAAATTCGTTATGATAATAATCACTGCATTAAATAAGTTACAAATCTACCATTGTAATAGATGTACCTTTTTAATAATAGTTTTGGATGAGCTCGATCATTGCGTATACATGAAAGAATGCGTCGGAAATCTTCGATTAAGCATCTATTAAAAAACCAATTGCAGAATAGTATAATACAAGTAGATGAAGCTGCGTCATTGAGAAAATATGTAGAAAAAAAAGGAAGACAAACTCCTGCTCGTTATACTTCTGACTCAGACTTCTGTTTCACCTTAGTCCATGACTGTTGAATCATATTAATTCAAAAGGAATTAATTCTGCAACAAATCTTGCATTTAAACGAACAAGTCATTTTTTCCAATACTCAATATTTCTCAATATTCGTAAAGTTTCACTTGAAAAACACAATTTTCTCCAAAGTGTCACTAGTCACACGAAATCGAGCGTGAATAATAATCGTGTCAAACTTTCAAGAGAAGATACCGATTTATTCCAATCGAAGGATAAAACTTTTGCCAAGAAAGCAAACACACTGCGTGGAAGTGGAATCATTATTTATAGCTAACAGCAAAGAAACGGTAGAACTCTCTGTAACTCTGTAAATTTCACGTAAAACAGTGATTAATCACTCGGCTAACTTACTTTTGTAAATTCGCAAGACGTTATTAACGATAATTCCATCGTTCGTCGAGAAAAAAAAAATCTCATTAATATTTTCATTTAAAATTGTATTTAATACAAGCTGTTCCGTAATTCGAAACTCAATTTTGACATTAAAAGTTATTAAAATAGTTTCTATTAAATTATAAAAGTCAACGCCCTCAAGCATTGAGAAAAGATAGAATAGTAAATAATTAATTAAACGAGTAGGTAAATAAATAAATATACATTAGTATCTAGCGCTAGTATCATGTCACCAGTTCTCAGATTATTAAAATGAAACATCTGTGTATAATTTAACAGTAACTTTTAACCCCTTTTAACACTTATTTAATTGTAGATTCAATTCAATTACATTGTCAATCTCTGGCAAGAAGATAAAATTCTAAATAAAATTAAATACTCTAAATCAACCAATCTCGCGACTTGCAACAATCATCGACAACTCAACAATACTATTTGCGGCTTAAAATAAAAAAAAAAGAAAAAACACTTCTTTCGCAATTGTTTCTCCATACCTAATTATACTTACCTTTGTAAAACGCACCGTACACGTAAACAAATTGTTGGAAAACAAATCGAAGCTGGTGTAATTATAATGGCTCCGCTAGATGTAACAGGCTGAGATGCACTAATGAAGGAACGAGAATTATGAAACATCTGTGTATAATTTAACAGTAATTTTTAACCCCTTTTAATACTTATTTAATTGTAGATTCAATTCGATTACATTGTCAATCTCTGACAAGAAGATTCTAAATAAAATTAAATACTCTAAATCAACCAATCTCACGACTTGCAACAATCATCGACAACTCAACAATACTATTTGCGGCTAAAAATAAACAAACACTTCTTTCGCAATTGTTACTTTTGTAAAACGCACCGTACACGTAAACAAATTGTTGGAAAACAAATCGAAGCTGGTGTAATTATAATGGCTCCGCTAGATGTAATAGGCTGAGATGCACTAATGAAGGCACGAGAATTCGCAGATGCGCGAGGCTGCCGGCATTGTTAACGTTATTACCGCCGAATATTTGCATAATCGAAGTGTAGCTGGCATCCACGCCTCGAATAAGCAATCAGAGTACATTCCGATGATCGTCGAAGCCGATTTATGCGCTCGCGTGCATACGTATGAACTGTCCATGCATACTTCCGCCGGCAGCAAATGGCCCGCGCGATGGCAGAGAAGAACGTCGTCGTTTGCGGCCGTTACCACTTGTCAGAAATATAATTAATGAAACAACGGTTAACAATGAAACAACGTACTGTACAGCGATGAACAGAACTATTGTCACCGGCAAACTTTCCTTTGTGAAATCGTGTGCAAAGAGAGGAGGCACGATTCATTGTGCCATTCTGTTGCGCAGCGTAAGTTTCAAATGCGTGTGCAGGTAATACGTATTTACTTATTATTTAATATATAGTATATATATTCT